AAGGTGAGCATAGTTGATTTGATGAATATAAAGAGGCAACATCATGAGACATTGGACGAATATTTGAACAGATTTAGGCAATTAAAGTCTCGATGTTACACGAATATTCCTGAGTATGAGTTGGTAAAAATTGCAGCCACTGGATTAGATTTTTTGATTCGAAAGAAACTTGTGAATGAACAATTGAGAGATATGGCTCAACTAGCAGAGAAAGTGAGACGAATTGAACAAATTCGAGCAGAGAAAGAAAGGTTGAGAAAATTTGACAAGTTCGTTTGAAAAGAATATCGAATACTTTATCGGCTTTCGTTACATCGAAACTATATTTTCTATTCGATCCGGCCTCTATATTTTCCCCAGCTTTTAATAATTGGCATTGATAGGTTGGCCCGAGTTGCAATTCAGCTATTTTGTCAATCCTCTTATAAAGTAGTGTTTCAGGATTTTTTTGTTGTTAATTGCTGAACAGCATAAGAAGAGTACATATAATTCCAAAATTATAACTATTTGGAATACCACTGAAGCTATAATCAGATATAGCAGTTTTAAAATTGGCAAGAAATTTCAAGTTTTATTTTATATATGTCTAATTATATATGTAGAGAAAGAGACAGAATTGATTGATTTCTTATTTATTTTACTCAATTTGAAGTGAGATATCATTATCTTTTCTAGAATTTATTAATAGAATCTAGGGAAGGTCAATCTGAGTCTGCTGCAACACCTGAACGTTCCCCAGCCAGGGTTGATGATGAAGATTTGGAGGCCGGTGAGATAAATTCTCCTGAGCTTTCAAGTGATGATAAGAATGATGAGAGTGAGTTGGTTGAGGAGGCTGGTGATGGTGCCGACAAGTTAATTGACGTTAACGAACCAATATCAGTTGAGAGCAATCAAGTGGCTGTTGTTGCGAGTGAGGGTGCTACTTTGACAAGTGCTGCAGAAAGTAGTTCTTCTAAAGTGAACTTACCTGTTCCAAAGCCCAATGAAACAGAAGAGGCAAAGCAGGCATCACCCATTAGCAGTACTTCAACGACCATCAATTTGTCAGAGAGAGCTCGAGAAAGGTCTCAAATGAGACAGGCTGGGTTGGTTCCTTCCCTTCCTAGACCTCGTGGTGGAAGACTTGGTAATCCTCCCCGTGGTCGGGTTGCTCGTGGTGGTCGAGGAGGAGGCCGCAGACCTCTTCCTCCCGCTCCTGGCCCAGAATCATGAACAACAAATTGTGTGGCAGACGGTTAATAAAGTTATTTTACCTGACTAGACTTATAAACTTGTCTCCCTTGATACTGACAATGACAGTATAGACCAGTGAGTATTGAGTAGGTGTAAATGGGCGACCAGTAATCTTCGTGTAAATACAATTTTGCTTTGCACTCGTTTCTCCTACCTAACTAATTTTGACTACGTTATCATCATGTGGGAATGGTCATTTTATTTAACATTCATTTCATGTTACAAATGTTACTTTAAACTCATTCATAGAATATTAATGGGCATATTGGAATTCGTTACATGGAATTAGATAAAACAAAAACAAATATTCGCGTTTCTCATAAATTTGCTTAATGATAATTTAAGTCCCGTTATCCATACACATCAGGTCTACATGTTGAGAAATGTTAGCTTTACGAATTTAGATGCTTCAGATATTTTACAAGTGTAGAATAATATCATCAACAAAAAATGGGAATGTGGAAGACTTAAATATTATTTTAGTTTTGGTAAAATGAACAAGTTCTTTTATTTTGTTTTTTTGTAAAAAGTTTATTATTTTTCATTTCTCTCAAATTTAGAATTATTATTTAGTCTATATTATTATATTAATATTTTTAACAAGTTTGTTTATTAAAAAAGTTATGAAATCATTTTATGTGATACTTAATGATGTTATGTTTGTATTTGACGCCTTTTAAATTTTGTATATATATATTTAAAATGTTATTTATCTTAAATTATTGAAAGTGATAAAAAAAAGTTATTTTGGATTTTAAAGAGTGAAATTTAAGAAAAATATTTTACAGTAACTAAAATTAAAATTTATTTGTTTTTCAACGATCAAAATTATTTTGAAGAAAAATATTATTGGACATTTTTAAGCCGAATATATAACATTGAAAATGTTAAATATTTCTTTTTGTCCCTTATAATATTTTTTATTTTAATTTAGTCTCACTTTAATTTTTTGTTCCAATTTAGTCCCTAATAATTAAAATCATTGTAATTTGGGACTTTCGTCCAAATGATTTAAATGGGGTGAACTGTTGGCCACATGGATGTCACGTAGATGCGTACGTGGACGTCAAAGTGCATGAATACACCTGGAACCAGAACGGTCCGTTCTAGCTGCATTCTTGGTGTGTTAATTTTGCAACCGGAACGGACTATTCCAAATGCAAATTTCACAAACTATCAGTGCATCAGAACGGGCTGTTCTGAAACCAGAACGGGCTGTTCTGGTTTCAGAACGACCTGTTCCAAAAAACCCAAAGGTAGTTTTGCTCAATCATCGATTCGTAAGCGAGTTGCTCCTACCTCCACTTCTGAATTACGTGAAGAAGCAGTTGCGTCAGGTGAGATGAACTCCGAAGCACCTGTGTTGAAGAAGTCAAAAGGATCAGAGTCCCCAGAAGAGAGTACAGAAGAACAACCTGCTGCAACTCTGGAATTTACTGGCAGTCAGCCTATCACTGAAGAATTATTTGATAGTAGTGAGTTGCCAGAAGGCCAAAATGAGGAAGTCAGTGAAGCTCAAACTGAAGATGGTGAAATTGCTGTTGGGAAGGATGACGAATCTGAAGATCCACAACCGTTGGATGGTACGAGTCAAGAGGAATTCCAAGGTGACAGGACTGGAAATTTAGAAGAGAATGCAGATCAAGCAATTGATACAAAAATGCTATCGGATGAGATTCCAAGTGAACACACCGAGTCAGACAACCAGCAGTCAACATTGGCACCAAGTAGTGAAAGAGAAGAGGGAGAATTGTTGCCAGATAATGTAGATGTTGAGGGTGAGTTGTCAAACATGGTGGAAAATCAAGAATCTAGGGAAGGTCAATCTGAGTCTGCTGCAACACCTGAACGTTCCCCAGCCAGGGTTGATGATGAAGATTTGGAGGCCGGTGAGATAAATTCTCCTGAGCTTTCAAGTGATGATAAGAATGATGAGAGTGAGTTGGTTGAGGAGGCTGGTGATGGTGCCGACAAGTTAATTGACGTTAACGAACCAATATCAGTTGAGAGCAATCAAGTGGCTGTTGTTGCGAGTGAGGGTGCTACTTTGACAAGTGCTGCAGAAAGTAGTTCTTCTAAAGTGAACTTACCTGTTCCAAAGCCCAATGAAACAGAAGAGGCAAAGCAGGCATCACCCATTAGCAGTACTTCAACGACCATCAATTTGTCAGAGAGAGCTCGAGAAAGGTCTCAAATGAGACAGGCTGGGTTGGTTCCTTCCCTTCCTAGACCTCGTGGAAGACTTGGTAATCCTCCCCGTGGTCGGGTTGCTCGTGGTGGTCGAGGAGGAGGCCGCAGACCTCATCCACCCGCTCCTGGTCCAGAATCATGAACAACAAATTGTGTGGCAGACGGTTAATAAAGTTATTTTACTTGACTAGACTTGTTGTAAACTTGTCTCCCTTGATACTGACAATGACAGTATAGACTAGTGAGTACTGAGTAGGTGTAAATGGGCGACCAGTAATCGTCGTGTAAATACAATTTTGCTTTGCACTCGTTTCTCCTGCCTAACTAATTTTGACTACGTTATCATCATGCGGGAATGGTCATTTTATTTAACATTCATTTCATGTTACCAATGTTACTTTAAACTCATTTCATAGAAGATTTATGGGCATATTGAAATTCGTTACATGGAATTAGATAAAACAAAAACAAGTACTCGCGTTTCTCATAAATTTGCTTAATGATAATTTAAGTCCCGTTATCCATACAAATCAGGTCTACATGTTTAGAAATGTTAGCTTTACGAATTTATATGCTTCAGATATTTTACAAGTGTAGAATAATATCATCAACAAAAAATGGGAATGTGGAAGACTTAATTATGATTTTAGTTTTGATAAAATGAACAAGTTCTTTTATTTTGTTTTTTTGTAAAAGTTTATTATTTTTCATTTCTCTCAATTTAGAATTATTATTTAGTCTATATTATTATATTAATATTTTTAACAAGTTTGTTTATTAAAAAAGTTATGAAATCATTTTATGTGGTACTTAATGATGTTATGTTTGTCTGTGACGCCTTTAAAATTTTGTATATATTTTTAAAATGTTATTTATCTTAAATTATTGAAAGTGATAAAAAAAGGTTATTTTAGATTTTAAAGAGTGAAACTTAAGAAAAATATTTTACAGTAACTAAAATTAAAATTTATTTGTTTTTCAACGATCAAAATTATTTTGAAGAAAAATATTATTGGACATTTTTAAGTTGATATATAACATTGAAAATTTAATATTTTACCTTAAACTACTGAACTTAGTGTTGCAGTCATGTATTATAAATGCATGAAAAAATCATTTTAACCTGATTATTTATGAGTTGCAAGATCCTAAATATGTTATGAGAAATTTTGATTAAAATACACTTTTAGTCCTTATAATTTTTTTTAATTGGTCTGTTCTTTTTATAAAGACTAGTAAGTAGAAAAAGAGATATTTCAGATCCCTCTATTATTTCTGTTTTAAAATAATAGTTAAAAAAATCAAGATTTGAAAATAAATAATGATATACATCAGTGAGTGAGTATTTTTTCTTATTTTAAAGTAAATAATTTTAAAAAATATCTTATTTAAGAGAAAAACTTTCCTATAAAAAAAGAGTTGTTCGATTTGATAGCAATATCTTTGAACTGTAGAAATATTTAGTCGATTTTAATATTTATATTTGTGGTCACTCCCAATGTCTTTGAGGTGGCAACACATTGGACAAGGACTTTACGCTGACATGGATTTTTTTTTCATCCCATTAAAATTTGTGTAAGACGTGGTCCTCAAATAATTAATTGACATTGACAACAATGATAACCTAACAAAGAAAACAAACAACAAAAAACAAACTCTGACCTATTCCTCACAAGTTGTAACAAAGACAACAACGCTTTAACTCATCACTCCGAACCTTATGGTATCCCAAAACCGATACCATTTCTATGATTCAATACGAGAAAAAATCTTTTTCTTTTTTTTTTGCATGTTGATGTGATTGTAAAATCATTTTGGTGATTCGATTTTTAAACTGCACATTTAGATCTTGATTGATGTTGCTGCGAGTTTAGTTGTGTGGTTTGTTGAGTTCGATAGGGTTCTGTGCATGCACCAATATGATTATTTGTAGTACTAGAGTATGCATGTGTTGTGGGGGGATTAATGCATGCTTAGCTTTATGGTATTATGGATAATATTGATGGTGTGTGATGTTATCGGCTGATACATTGGCAATGTTGTACTTTTCGAACATGTGTAATGTTTCATCAATTGACTTTGATATATATCGTTTAGATAAATTTCTTGTTAAATATATAGGAAAAGAATAAAGAGGAAAAAAATAAAGATATTAATTTTTTTATAAATTAAAATTAATTTATATAAAAGTCAATTTTGAAGGTAATGTTCTTTGTTATTGAGTTAGGTTTCGTAATCGCATAACTTACAAAAAAATGTTGCAATATGCGTGATTTTGAGAGCTCTTGATTCCGAAATATTGGTAGACTTGACATGTTAAACCTTTCTTAAATATCTTAAAAGTTTGTTAATTATAGTACTCTTTAGATTTGACGTTTTAATTGTTCCACTTCACAACATTTCATATAATGATACTTCACACAATTTTTCATTGGTCAAAATCTTTAACCAGTTACAACCCTCTGTGAATAACTCTATGAAATGTCTGATTGCCTTTAAGATCATCGACTGTCCCTACAAACTAATGTAAATTTTTTTAGTGTGTTTTATCCTTATTCACGCAATTTTGGAAAACTTTTCAAAAGGTCATTTATTCTTAAATTCTCCAAGTCAAATACACTTAACTATGGAATTTTTAAGTGATAAGCTATTGAAAAGTAGATGTATATTGTTAGTATAGGTAGTACTAATTAATTCATTTAAGTCATCCTTAACTATACAATCTCACACATGTACAACCTATAGATCCCTCTCATTCTAGTGTGTTCAGGATGTTACAAGTCACTAACTTCCACTTAGTTCGTCTCCAAACCACATCGTACTAGGAGAGTGAACCTACTTTGATATTGTTCTCACCTGAAGTTGGTCTGATGTCGACCTCTTCGGCAAGGTTGATGAGTCTCTTCTACTCCCGTAAGTTGGATGCTCCAAGGTGGAGGTGGTACCCATAAAAGAGACTCCAATGCGTAAGTTAGTTCCTGTAGGTGTGCGTGTTTCATATATATAGTGTACGTACCTTGATGCTAATTAGGATTTTTCCCTTATACGAATATTTCGTAAGATATGATGAGATTGCCCACTTATCTTTTTATGTTAAATTATGATGCAAATTCTAGAAAAGAAAAAGAAAATTCTAGAAATATAAGATAAGTATAAGTCTCTAGAGAAAACTAAAAGAGTGTAGAGACTTGAAGAGTCTAGAAAATTCTAGATATTTCCACCATCATCTAGAGATAGAGCACCATGCCTATAAATAGGAAAATTGGTACTTCATTGTAACAACAACAACAATAACAATTACCACCACTTCTAATACTCTCTAAATACAAATAAGTTTCTATTATTCCACCAACTATTCCATTGACAACTATTATCTTATCTGTTGAAGAATGGCTTAATCTTTGGCCAATGTGATTGGGTGGTTTTGATGTCGAGGTGAGTCTCAATGAATGATGTTGGTACAATATCGCACACCCGACGTTACCGACCTGACGTGGATGGTACACTAGCTCCCCGAGCTCTATGTGCTTGTGACAGGCCGGGGAGCTTACTCAGGTTGCGAGGGGAGGTGTTGCGGCTTTTCATTTCTCAATCTTGTAGATTAAATACCACGTGTCTTCCAAGGGGCGCTTCTTTTCTCGAAGCGATGTCTCGTGACATCAAACAACGACGACTGTAATAAAGGGTGACGACTCATAATGATGGGTTGCACCCTATCATTATGAGCCTTATTTAATAGGGTCCATCCCTCAATATTTTTGTCGTTTTGTGGCTTTATGTCCCTCATGCCATTTTCATTTACTCACATTCCCTACTATTTCTCACAGAGCCTTCTTCGACTTGCTCCCTCTGCTCTCTCTTGTCCGAGTCATCTTTTTTAATCGCACCGCGTCCTCTAGTCACCATTTTTGTCCTTGCTTCATCCTTTCATTTCACGCAGGTACCTTTCCCTCCCTTTTCTTAGTCTAATTCGTAGGCATTTTGGTCATGTCACTTCCTTCTGGTTTTGGCCTCCCAGCCTTGAATGAAGTAGTAATAATGGGGGAAGGAGTCGCCGTTGGCGACAACGATGACCATAAGAAGAAACAGGGTGGGAATAATAGGAAAGACTCCCACCCTGGTATCTCTGTCGTTGAGTATGAATGGGTTAGAGGTGACGTGGGCGAGTTCGAGAGTAGGTATAGGTTCTTCCTTGAATTCAATGCCCTTTGGAAATCCTTGATGATCTATTCGTCAGTCATTTCTAACCTCATTCGAGTCGAGCCCTGTCAACCCGATGAGTGTGTCTTTATGTCGGATACTGCAAACACTCATTTCTTTTATATGTATCATTACTTGTTTAGGGATCTTAGTGTCTCCTTTCCCTTTACTTCTTTTGAGTGTTCATTTCTTAAAAACATGTTGCCCGCTGCCAACTTCACCCCAATAGGTTGGGTTTCCTCCGAGCCTTTCAAATTTTATGCTTGACTTTAGGGATAAATGTGTCACTGCCCAAATTTCTTCACTTCTACCAATTTAAGTTGGGTGAGCCTCCTCTAGGTTGGGTGTCTCTAAGTTGTAGCAAGGTTGGAGGGTTATTTCAGTTGTACTCCCAATCTTATAAGAATTTCAAGAAGGAGTTTGTTAGGGTCCGACCTATCATTACTGACCTGGCTAATGAAACCGTCTTCCACCTCGACGGGAGTCGAGGTTTCCTTTCTTTTGGCAGGAAGTCCTGTCAAGTTTAATGGCTTCCTCGATCTTAGTTTATCTGCTTCTGACAAGGCCGATATAGCCTAGCTTTAGGAGTTACCTCAACCCTTGGTTAGCAAGATCATCTTGTCTCTTGCTGATTTGACGAACAAAGATAAAGGTCTGGAGAGTGAGTACTTTATTGTTAAGTCTAGTAGATTTATATGTTTGTTTGCTATGTTTCTCATGGTTGTTTTGTTATTTTCTTTTTACAGGGTTGATAGGGAAAAACAAATGGCGTGAGCTGAAGGCCAAATTCAACATCGAGGAGAAAAAGATCCCCGATGTTGAGGAAGATTAGGGTAACCTCCTACCTCGTCATAAGAGGAAAAGGAAGGCCCCATAAGCTGAGAAAGAGGTAGTCACCAAAGCTATGGCAACCTCTGAGATAATGAGGGGCAATTATTGATTTGACCTTGAGTCCACCAAGCTCGGCAATGGATGCACCCGCAGGTGGCGACCAACAGGAGACACTTATGTCAACACCGCTTGTCGAAGAGGTAAGTGTGAGTTAGACTTAGAGATAAGGGTTTTGGTGTTGTTTTGTTTGGTATTGGTTGACTTTGCTATTGTTCTCTTTGTGCAGTGGTTATCACGTCGATCTCGGCTGATTTGTCTATGGTCACTAGGGTCGATTGTGAGGGTCC